TAGTGTAGTAGGGTGATATAGCTAGGATTGTAGTGTAGTAGGGTGATATAGCTGGGATTGTAGTGTAGTAGGGTGATATATCTGAAATTGTAGTGTAGTAGGGTGATATAGCTGGAATTGTAGTGTAGTAGGGTGATATAGCTGGGATTCTAGTGTAGTAGGGTGATATACCTGCGATTCTAGTGTAGTAGGGTGATATACCTGCGATTCTAGTGTAGTAGGGTGATATACCTGCGATTCTAGTGTAGTAGGGTGATATACCTGCGATTCTAGTGTAGTAGGGTGATATACCTGCGATTCTAGTGTAGTAGGGTGATATACCTGCGATTCTAGTGTAGTAGGGTCCCAACAGCTATACTAAATTAAAATGACAGCCTACTCAAATGTGATGAGCTCTAACACCATTAATCAATATTCTTCTATTTATCTCAGTGCAGAAATGCTAGACGTCATTTGCAGCGTCCTAAACATATTGCTAAATTAGATCAAGCAAAAGAATCTGGAATGGTTTGTTTCATTTTTATTTATCTCCCATCTTGTGTAATGTAGTCTCATGATATTTTTAATTATCATGTGAACATTTTTGACACCAGCTTTTTTGGTTTACGTCTGACGTAGTCAACATTTAACATGTCATTCAAAATTCAAATCATTCAAAATGAGTAGTCACATCACTGATTCATACCAGTTACTTTTACTATTTGATTCAAAATGAATGCTCTCATGCGGATACAGTTTCATTGCTTTTGTTTACATTTGTTTAAATTGAGACAAGATATTATGGTATGAATAAATCTTGTAATCAGATTCAATTTTTCTGTAGGTTTTTCCTACATGTTGACAAGTGTCTACTAATACAATGCAATCAAACAATATGGAAGCCATTTTACTGCAAACATTTCTCTCATTCAAGAACCAGATTGCAATTTTGTGTTACTCTATTGACCATTTAATAATGAATTATTCAACTTTGCTCATCCAAGTAATCTATGGTATACTACTCTCGTCAGTTTTCTTGCAGTATTTATTGCAGTGCTATCTCAGTTCTTAATTTCAACTTTGGTTTTTCAGGCTCATTATGGTGATCCAGAAGTGTTTAAATTAGCAGGCACAGATAAATGGTATTGTCATCATTGCTGTGGAATATGGCATGGTGAAATAGTAAGTATGCTATTAGACAACTCTATATTTCATGGCTGTTATAATAAAGGTTGCCCATCCCCCCTCCCCCCGTATGGACTAAGATTTCAGTTTCCAATGTGTTAATGCATCAACTGTGTTTTTCTCATAAGCAGAATTTTTTTTTTCATTATAGTATGAGTTTATTTTGAGTATATCAAAGTGTGCATGAGGGCAGTATGATGATCATATTGACCAAAGCGTATCATAGGTTAATGCATTGCTATACTGCCTGGGTGGTATTATATATGTAACAATTTTTTAACATCACCTGTTATAAGCCTTCATGAATAGCTAAAATGAATTGGTAAAAATGGCTTCAGCAGGTAATGACAGACTGAAAAATCAACAAAAAATATTTGCTTTGTGCAAAAATTTGCATTTTAATAACGGAATTCTATTTCCTGCAAGTGTTATTGCATTTCTGAATAAAATGTAAACAAAGAGATGTGTCGGAATATCAATAATTTTAAGGGAAATGAAGTGGGGGAAATATTACTGTTAGTGACAAAATGTCTGTCCCTGTTGTTTTCATAAATCTTCCTTGTGGACATGTTAATTATAGTAATATTTAGTCAAACTTATATATACTGTCTATCAGTATGCATAAATGACCTACATGTATATGACATTGGTCTGCCAACAATTGTGTTTCTAGCGATTTTTTAGCTTATTCGTATCATCAAAATTGCAGGAGAACATATATTCATACTTATTGTCCTCAATGACTCTGCTGTAAAAATTTCTCTTGTTACAATAAATTAAATAATTTTTATCCAATTTATTTCACACTTCATATTATAAAATTAAGCAGTTTAGGATCTCGGGCAAAATTGTTTTCAAGATATTGGTTGAATTTCACTTCTTCAATTTGACTTCTCACAAATAACTAAAACAATTTTACTGATCATTTTCAAATTCAAGAAGTTTATCAAATGTCATCTCAGTTCAGTAAAATTTTACTGAAATAAAATCTTTGTTAGAGGAACAGTACTAAGCAATGCATTAGTGTTTGTTCCTAATCCATATTTATTGTTATCATGTAGAAACACCAATTTCATTTTTTACGACACATTTGTCTATTCTAGAACCATATTAAACCACGGGTCCGTATGTATAAAAGGAAAGATGGCCGCCACTTTGACACTCAAGCGTGAAACATCTCTTCGGGGTGCTCTGAAAAATCACTCTTTTCGGCAATCTTAACGCCTGTTGTGCTTTATTTTCATGTCGTACACAAACATGAATATGTCCGCGATACAACTGCGATGTTAATTTACGAGTTCAGTGCGATGTCAGTGTGATTTCCACGTAAAAGCAACGGAGAAGCATGATTCAAATAGTCGTTTTGACTGCTCAAACTGGCTGTCAGTCATGGGTTTATACAAATGTAAGGTGTTAATCCTGAGTTGTTTGTTCAATCTCTAGGTATGTTTATGTAATTACGGAGTTGATCATGTAAGTGAAATCATGGAGCTAATAAAAAATGATATGCTGTGACCTGTTTGTCCGTCCGTCCATCTCCGGGGACGTCGTCGCGCTCCACAAAGCGGTCCGACCCGAGCGAGTGCGAATCGGACGAGTTGGGGTGTGCGAGAGAGGGGAGGGACTTTGCGTGAACATACCAATAACTTCCATAGTGTGTGTGCGCAAAAAAAGACATTCTCGGTTACAGGGCTGGGAAATTTGCTCAATTCGTATTTTCCAGTGGCAACAGAGATGAAATAGGTCAGTTACGAAAAGGAAAATATAAAAAAATGGTTTTCACTCTGATGGCGATGAAAAGAGTCAAGGGAGCTCTAAATACGTCCCCGACAATTTAAAAAGTACAAATGTATCTCGAAATAAATAAATTGAAAGGTCTCACAAAAAAATGTAATGTTCCCTGAAACATATCCCCGCAGTGAAATATTTATCTCTTTTTGTCACGTACTAGTATGAGTCGCGCATATATTCGTGTATATTTGGCGTTGGACTACTGGGTATGCCTGTGCCACACAGCCGTATACGTATAATAATTTTTTTTTTTTTTTAAGTTGCATAACGTCATTATTGCCTAGCCGACAAGACACATTATCACAAACGTTGTACGATAACTACATTGTGTAGGTCATTCAAATAAACCACAGTTATTTCATGATGCCAGTAATTGACAATACAGTAGTTCCCTTTTTTGAAAGCCCACACTCATTTTGCCTGATGACTCTCTCAACAACCAGATCTGGCTCGAATTCACTATCGTCTAAATCTAGTTCTTCCTCCGCCTGGTTCTCGTATAATTGGCGTGCGAATATTTGGAACAGGTTGATGCAGTAAATGTTTTAGACAAAACAAGTAAACGTAAACGATGTAAAGATAATTTTAAATGAAAAAAATACATGTACAGTTAATGTAACAGAGTAGTCCATTGTTTTATTGTGCCAGCCATTTTGCGGAAGCAATGACAACAATTACCATGTTGTTTTGATCTGTTCAAGTTAAAAGTGGTGAATGAAAGTTTCGGTCACCATTTACCACCCCGACTTTTCGGCAACGTATTTTTGCCAAAATTTTACTTATAACTATTTATTCATGACCCACACGTTGCGTGTTCGATGTATCTATATTGATTTACTCATAACTTTGCCTATTTAGATTTTTTACTAATAACTGGCATGTTGCAAGTACGTACTCATTATATTTATAAATAAACCCACAGCAACATAGCACAGTACCTATTATAAATACATTGCGCTCGTAACGTACATGTTGTGAATGAATAAATAAATACATTGTATAAAAAGGTTGCACTTGTAACATATTGGTACAATAGCAAGAGAGCAAGGGAATGCACTCAATTCTGAGATACCATTGAGAACCTTACAATGCCGTAACATTTACAGAAATTGTGCTTTACAGTCGACCACGAGCAAAACAAAAGAGTGCGCAGGCCCCGTAAACGTCGAACTACGGGATTCAGCAAGTCCTTTCAAATCGAATAATAGCGTAATGCATGATGTTAGCTTACGGAATTAACATCTTGGGATGAAATGATAATAGCTGTGTACTAAGTAAGCAACTGGGCGGGCCATGCAAATTTCCCATGACGCACTGGTGCAATTCCTGGGATTGCGGAGCCGTGCTTTAAGGCTGTTCACTCTATTTGTCATAACAGCATACATGTTTTCAATTACTACTTCACAGTACAAATCACTTTGAATGTCTTTTACAACCCCTCCCTGAAAATAGTCTTTTCATATGGACAATTACACTTAGTACAATTATTATTCGTGCCTTTCAACTAAAACTAGTTCTTTCTCTTCCCTGCATAAATTTATCACTAAAATCTTGCTGACAAATTTCCAGTTGAGTCAGAGCAGATATACAAGGCAGAAATTAATTAGTCTGAAAAACCTGTCATTAAAAAAGCTGCTCTCTGATTGGTTTGACTGTTAGGTGTTCAGGTTGGGTAGCCTATCAGGTACAACCTAAAAGTGTGTTTTATACAATACTTATTTCCATCTGCAGCCAATGAGTTGCCCTTTCCAGTATATACAGAACAAGCCATGTGAAGTTTTACTATTTTTATGTTTTGTTGCCATAGAGGATAACTTCTCATGTTGTGAGCAACAGACATTATGGAAATAAGGCAAAGGTGCGAAACGTATTAGATGATGAAAATAAAGTGATGGTAAGTCTTCTGTATTCACTTCGTCCCTGCTAGATGTAGTCTTACATTCTGGGTTCAGTCTATTAATGTGTCCGTCCGTCAAATGCCTTAGACTGGACTGATTTTATTACTGAGTCGTGGCCATTTTGTTTGTTACTTGATGATGATACCCTTTCATGGGATTTTGTTTTGGTACACATTTTGAACGTTGTCTCGATTTTGTTTTTTCAGATCAGTTTCAAAATGGCAGACTGGTGGTCATTTTGTTTTAATGAATACAGCTCTGAAGTCCAGTCTCTGGCATGTCCTTAACATTTAATGTCAAAATTCATGTTGCACATACGTTTTTTATATTCAAAAAAGCTGAAGCTACGTGCATTACCTAACAGTAAACTCACATGCTTAAACCACTATTTCATCGACACTCATTAGTTACTCATCCAATTGAATAGCTATATTCATTTTCTGAATACAGTGTTTGTTGTAGTACACATACTGGATGTTAGTGTTACAGTAGTGATAGCAGTCACATGTGATGAAAAGTCCTGTAATCCTGACTGGCAAACATTTTCATGAAACAAATAAAAATCCAAAATTTGATGTAGTATCAAAAATGTCATATACCATTTCTCGGGCTTGTTTTTGGTTGATTTTGTTCAAATTTCATACATGATCGGTTACTGATGCTTGTCTGTTTGTTTCATGATTAGAATAAAGAATGATTGTGTTGGTTTCTTTTTCATCTGTCCTACTATTTCTCAGTTTTGTACCTTGACCAATTTGATACAAATACCTGATATAATGGCATACATACTGTTGATCTGTTGAAAACATAATATATAATGCTATTAAATTGCACATTTGCTTTTTGTTTTGTTGGTCATTGTTCATCTGACGGCCATTCAAACATGTCATCAACCATTTTTCAGTAGCATTCAAATTTCATGTTGTCTTTGGGAGCTTCTACTTCACGTAATTTATTTTTTGTTTGATTCTAAGTTGCCGACAGACAGCCATTTTATTTTTATGTATCCTATTCATTTCTTCAATACACTTTCACTGATTTGTTTAAATTCAGTATTCAGGTTTGAATATTTTTTTCTATTTTGAGGGTTTTGATAAAATTTAACTGTCAGCCAATTTTGTCCATGATAACTCAAATTAGAAAATGTCATTATATCATCCACAGTTTCTAAGGCATGCCTTGATCTGAACAATTTTGTTTTGTGATTTGATTCAAAATGTCCAGCAGGTGAATGTGTTTATTTTAGTTTAAATGTGTCCTTAATCAATGCTTAGACATGCTCTAGTGTTCAATGTTTTTAAAAGGAAACTACATAATTTGTCATTTTGAATATTAATTCAAAACTGGAATTGGGACTATGTCATTGACAATGTTTTTTTGGTAACTGTATTGTCTTTAGAATTCTGATTATGAAGATGTTTTGGTAAAGAAGGATTCTGGTTTATGGCGCTGTCTTCTTTGTCACCAACAAGTGCTAGCAAAAAGTGTAAGTATGCCGTTCTTTCTGTTGAATATTCAGAGGTCTAGGGTGAATCAGTATTTAGGGTACTAAGCAGAATCAAATATAGTTAATATTTAAGTATGAGGGAGAATTATTACTGTACAATTAATATCCAAGGCACTAGGGAGACTCAATAGGATTAATATTAAGGGTACTAGAGAAGCTTATTAGAATAGATCAGGGTACTAAACTAGATACAGTAGGACAAATATTCAGGGTAATATGGATTGCAGTAAGATTAAAGTACAAGGTTGCAGGGAGACTAAAATTAATATTTTGGTTACAATGGAGACTTATGGGAATTAAAATTTACTAGGGAGACTTATTATGATTATTATTATTCATTGTACTGAGGAGACTACATAAAATTAATATTCAGAGTACTAGAATGATTCAGTAGGATTAATGTTCGGGGAACTCTGGTGATTCAGTAAACGTACATTGAGATGTCAGGATAAGGTTTAATATTAGTGGCATTCACGTTAGAGATCTTGGCATGTGCAGACTCAGCCCAGACTTGTATGTGAACAGCCAGGACCTTGTTGACATGTGCTGAAAAAAAAATTGTTCTTGGTCTTATGATCTTATAGTCTTATTGCTAGGCACGAGCTGAAATTACGCCCTCGGTGGTGAATTTAAAAGAACATATACTGATTCATAGTAGTATGACATGACGATGGATGGAAGTGCAGCTACACAAAAATGTACATATGGTTGGATGCTGTAGTAATGAATGAAATGAATGCAGAACGTTGTCGGCAGCACATATTCATGTGCTGCTGCAACCATTTTCTTGCAATGCTACATCAACGTGAAAAAATAATTGTTTTTCGAATCTTCTTTGCTGTTCATGTGCACAATGACTCGTAATAATTACCATATCAGCAAATGGATATAATTTCAATAAAACAATTAACAGCGTCCGGATTACTTTCGGAAATTCCGTCGCGTTTCGGAAAGTTTTAATTTTCAAAACTT